GGCATGTGTTTCTATAAACTTCTCTTTTAGAACAGTTTTTGCTACATCCCATAGATAAATAGTTTTTATTTTCATTTTTCTCAAGGTATTTTCTGATTTCCTCTTTGATTTCCTGATTGAAACACTGGGGTTTTTTTTAGTAGCATGTTTTTTAGTCTCCACCTGTTTGTGTTTTTTTCTCATTTTTATTCCTGTAAATGATACCTATGGTTTCATAATGCTGTAGTCAGAAAAAATGCTCGATATAATTTCTGTCCTCTTAAATTTGTTTAGACTTGTTTTGTGGCCTAACATACATCCTGGAGAACATTGCATGTACTCTTGAAAAGAATGTGTTCTACTGTACAGGATGTACTGTAGGATGTAATGTCCTACAGATACATATTAAGCACAACTAGTCCTAGCTGTCATTTAAGATCACTGATTTCTTAATGGTTTTCTATCTAATAGTCCTATCTGAATGACTGTCCATTGATGTAAGTGATGTGATCAAGTCCTTACTTATTATTGTACTATTGTCAATTTCTCTTTTTGTCTGTTACTGTTTGCTTTATATATTTAAGTATTCCTATAATGGGTTCATATGTGTTGTTCTTCAGTCGCTAACTTGTGTCCGACTCTTTGTGACCTCACAGACTGCAGCACGCCAGGCTTCCGTGTCTTTCACTATCTCCTGGAGTTTGCTCAAAGTTAAGTCCACTGAGTTGATGATGCTGTCCAACCATCTCATCCTCTGTCATCCCCTTCTCCTCCTGCCCTCAATCTTTCCCAGCATCAGAGTCGGTTTTCCAATGAGTCAGTTCTTTGCATCAGGTGGCCAAAGTATTGGAGCTTCAGCTTCAGCATCAGTGAATATTCAGGGTTGATTTCCTTTAGGATTGAGTAGTTTGATCTCCTTGCTGTCCAAGGGACTCTCAAGAGTCTTCTCCAGCACCACAATTTGAAACATCAATTCTTCGGCTCTCAGCCTTCTTTATGGTCCATAGCCTCTTCTTGTACTGATCCTCTATCCTTATAAAATGCCTTGTCTTTTGTTATAGACTCTATTTTCGGTCTACTTTGTTCCATATGAGTACTGCTATCCCAGCTTTCTTGACATTTCCATGTACATTGAATATCGTTTTTTAATCCCCTCACTTTCATCTGTGTGTCTTCAGCTCTGAAGCAAGTCTCTTGTAAGCAACATGTAGAAGGGTCTTGCTTTTTGTATATATAGTTGTATATTATTTATACACAAAGTAATTTTGTTCCAGTACAGATATTTCTGCCTAATGAATATATTTTGAAATCTGTTGTGAAAAGTGCTATATCAGAAAGCATAGTTAGCCTTCTATAGGAAAGAAAATAAAGTGTATTCTAATACTGTTGTGCAAATTTCAAGGGAGTTTCTAATACATTACTACATGTGATCTACCACTTTTCCTTCCCCTATAACTCTGTGGAAAGGCTAGATGCATGCTCTGGTAACCAGGTTTTATAGATGAAGGCACTAAGAAATAGTAGGTTTTGTGACTTGCACAAAATCACACTTAAAGGGCTGGAGTAGGATTAGAATCTAGGAATTTTTACTTTTAGAAGAGGGTTTTCCCCATAAAATCACATAGGCTCTGAACTTTAAAAATGAAAAAAAAAAAAAGAAATCCACATTTTGTAGCCCTTCTGGTTGATGAATGTCACTATATGTATACCAGTGTAGTGCAGATCACTATGATTGAGTGGGACTTGCTGTAATTAACATTTGCTGACAGGACCACCAGACCACCAACATGGACCAAACATACCACACAGAGATCTCACCAATACCGCCCCATTCCACTTCCAAAGGTAGGCTCTGATGTACTGTAATATAGTATGGCATCTTTCCCCTACAGTCAAGCACAATCTCTTTTAGAGAGAGATTGTGAGCAAAGGATGGAAAACTCTTCTTAGATGCTTAGGAGTACATACTGTAGCACAGACACTGAAACCAAATGTTTGAAAAACTACCCAATGGCTGTTGCTTAGAATAGCATTATTCCACTCCTTCATCACACCACCTCCCCCACACATGCAGGTGCATGCATACGCACGTGCTCACGTGTGCACACACACACACTCTCTTTCTCTCTCTCATATTCCCAAGTTAGTTGGCTGGCTTATTTCTGGGATGTGACTAAACTGAAACATTCTTGCAGAGAGTAATTTTTCCTTTTCTTTTGTCTGAGAAAGAAATCAGAATCCGGAAGAATTCAGAAGAAAAAACAGGCTGACTAAACATGGAGTTGGAGCTAGTGAATCTTATTATAAACCCTCAGTACTCTGGGAGAGTGTACAGGTTTCTTTATGTTCCGATGTATTTGAGATTCACGCTTCCCTTGTTAGCTCAGTCAGTAAAGAATCTGCCTGCAGTGCAGGAGATCCAGGTTTGATCCCTGGTTTGGGAAGATCCCCTGGAGAAGGAAATGGCGACCCATTCCAGTCTCCTTGCCTGGAAAATCTCATGGACAGAGAAGCCTGGTGGGCTGCAGTCCATGGGGTTGTGAAGAGTTGGGCACGACTGAGCGGCTAACACTTACTTAACAGTCTCAGGTGTTAGAAACTTCGATTGACTAGTTAAACTGTTATCATCACAAAAACTAATCAGTAATACTGGGACTGTTTGGATAACTTTCTGTTTTGAAATAATTCCAAACTTAACAGGAAAGTTACAATAATAATACAAGGAATTGTAGGAACACAACCAAAGGTTTACATTTTGTCCTATTTTCTCTCTTCCCCACAGCCCCACATCTCTGTCTCTCTCTTTAGACTATGTTGAAACATTGTCTCCCTTTATCTCTTCACATTCAGTATATGTTTTTTAAGTATAGAACGTTTTCTAACATAAACCACAGTATAGTTATCAGAACCAGAACATTAAACATTGATATAATTTTTGTGACGAGTTCTGGGTCCTTTTATTGGAGAGTGGTAACAGGAACTAGTTGTGCTCACTGCTATAAGCATGTTATTTCATCTAGTCCTGTTCAGTGGACAAAGATAGGGAATACATGTCTTGTATATTTTTATGTCCATTTACATATTTACAAAAAAATCATTGAATTTACACTGATCCTTCAGTTACAGTTCAGTCTTAAGGTCTGGTCTCCTTTTTTTTTTTTTCCTTTTTTTAAAAACAAATTTATAACTCTCTTCCCAGCAATGAGAAACCTGCCTTCTGTCATCTTCTTTTTTTTTTTTTAATTTGCTCAAACTCAGAATATAGAAAAGTTTGTTTTTTCATTGCTAACTCATATCATTGCAACAATCCAAACCTACCTACTGAAACTCAATATTGATTTACAGTTATTTTAAGATAGATTTTATATATATTAAGTGCACAAATGTAATGGGAACAATTTAATGAATTTTGAGGAATGTACACATCTTTGTTAATCACACCCATAATAAAGTATAGACTTTTTTCAATCATCCCAGAAAGTTGTCCCCTCAGTCAACAGTATCCCAAAAGACAGCCCTTTTCCAGTTTTATTTTTCAGAGATTAGTTTTCTTGGCTAAGTTTTTAACAAGTAGTTTTTATATCCAGAGGGTTTTAAAAGGAACTTCAAAAATATTTTAATTTCTTGTAGATGAATGTTGACCTATGACATATTAGTTTTTAGATAAATTTTGTATATGATGCATCCTTGAATCCAAATAAAGTGCAGACTTTTACCATGGCCTCTGCTGATCATTTAGTCCCTCCAGTTCACTGTACTTTAGCTACTCTGGACATCTTTCAGGTCCTCAACCACAGTAAATTCTTTTCCATTTTAGCAACTATGCACTTGTTCCCTCTATTAAAGAAACACATTTTCCTTAATCTTCACCTATCTGGGGTTTTCTCATCATTTAGATCTCAGCAAACCATCACCTCCTGCAAGAGATTGTCCCTGACTACTCTACCTTATATTGCCCACCACTTTTCCTGGGTCATTCTCTGTTACTTTCCTTGTTTTATTTTCTACATAGCTCTATGACTCTCCTTATCTATCTATCCTTTGTTATATCCTCAGTATGTAGAATGATACTTGGTAAATGTATGTGTGTGTCTGTGTATGAAAGAGTGGGTTTAACAAATATTTATTGGATGAATGCAGGATGTAATAATTTGTTATTCTTTATGAAATACCTTCATTAGTCCCTCAGAATTCTGAAGGACAAAATATTTTTCTTATATAAATTATTAATGAATATGTCATTAATAGAATATGTTTCTATTTTATACTTTTTACTCTGCTTAGTCTTCAAATGAGCAAATGTACAATCTTACTGTACTATAACTACATATAAAAAGTATATATTCATTGATTTTTTTGAGCAATTACTCAAAAAAATAGTCCCACTTTGAAATGATGGAAACATTATAAAGTAACATTTTAGTTTAATAACGTATATGCCTAGTTAGAGCCATAAAAGAATATTGTCTCTTTCCAAAAGGGGTTTTAAATCTGGCCAAAGATTTCTTCACTGGGAGATTGTTCAGGGACTGCTTTGCATAGAAATGAAACTAAGGGTTTTTTCCCTGGTGTAACATAAGTAAAAAAGAATGTGCTGTTAGGGACAGGATCTGTGACTCTAGAATATACTCCTCTACTCCATGACAGAACACAGCTGTTCACACTTACAAGGACAGCTACAAGCAAGCCTTTGAGTTTGGCTTTGTGTTTATTTACTTGTCACTTGATAGCTTTAGGATGGAAACAATGATAGCACATGAATTGGACTGATTTTTGCTCATCACAGATTTTTAGTTACGGGACCAAAATACTTAAGTATTCATATAAAATAACCAAAGCAGTTTCTGAGTTTTCATTTGTTAACCTAAAAATTCCAGTGAAGACTTCGACAACTATTTGATAGATTTCTGGATGGACACTTGCTTTAAGAAATGCAAGAGTTGATTACATAGTTGATTGTTTTCTATAGGAATAGAGGCTGTCAGAAGAGGCAACATATATTTTGTTTGTTTGTTTCTAAGGAGCATAGCAGCCACTGATCATGAACCAACAGATGCCAGGAAATCCTTCCCTTGTTTTGATGAGCCCAACAAAAAGGCAACGTATACAATATCCATTGTCCACTCCAAAGAATATAAGGCACTTTCAAATATGCCAGTGGAGGTGAGTATTTTAAATTCTTTTAAAATTTATGCAGATAGTTTGTTTATAATATCAGGTAAATTTCCTGATTTGCTATGAGAGAACCTACTGAATTCTAAAATAAATGTGCTCTAATAGCTTATTTAGAGGCTTGAAAATACATTTGGGCAATCTCTTATCTTTGAGTACTAGGAATCTTTAATTCAAGATATTACAATCTAGTCAAAATACCATGTTGGGTTTTCTAAGCAAGAATGGATATAGCAGACATATGTTAGCTAGGCTCTGCTTAAATGAAAGAATCCCCTAATCATGACAAATTAAAGGCAAATGAATGGAATTACAGATTTAAAAATATTCAGGGGCCTAGTCTTCTTGGTTTCTACAAAAAAAAAAAAATCATCACTTAAATGTTGAAATATAGCTACCAATTCCAGGGATCACCATGCCCATAGGTATTCTAGTGAACCAGAAATACTCATTAAATGTTAAAAAAAAAAAAGGCTACAATAAATTCTGTTTGTATTATTATTAACATGACTCTTCCCTCTGTTCCAGCTCCTCAACCCTATAATGGGTAACGCACTTAACTAAAGGATCATTACCTCAAGGTTGAGGTTTATTATGCCTTATATCTTTGACATGTAAAAGGGTGAAGCTCATCCTTAGATATAATTGTCACCTACCCAATACCAGAAAAGCACTGTGTCTACATTATACTTCCCATCTTTCTGATCCACTATCTTAAGTATAATCACTGAAATCATCCTCTTTAATTACAGATATTCCTCAAAAAAGCAAACAAAAGCTTTAAGAAGGTTAAATGCAAGCTTTTCTTCTAGTGTCAGACTCCTAGGCAATTGGGTTTTGACTGGAGAAGAAAGAGGAAAAGATGAACTTAAAGGATGATACACTAATCCAGAGGACTGGGTCAGAGTACAATGCCATCAGAATTCTTGTCATGTGAGGGCGGGAGGAAGAAGAATGCAGACTTTACTAACTGCTGTTTAAGGTTCTCCCACAGGACCTTTTTGTTGTGCAAGGTACACACTTCTTCACCTTCACCTAGTTTCAGAAACTAGCCCTGGAGGAAGGTGAATAGCCTTAGGATATCAGAACTACTACAGGTTTTTATCATAGAGCAACTGCTGGGGCTTCAACTCTTCTCTACAAGCACATGCTTGCCTTGTCTATGAGGCATCAAGCTCTAATCCAGCCTCCCTCTCTTAATCCTTTTTTAACTTCCCCGTAGAGTGACTCAGTGTGTGGCTGCAGGGCATGTGGACGCGTTTCCACAATGGGCAGCAGGAATTAGGCAAGTATTCATGGATGAAGTATTAGGACTGGTGACTGGCAGTGCGGAAGGCAAAGTGGCGTGGACAGAAAACCAGACAGATGGAGTTGGTAGCTGCAGCAAGTGATACAGTCTTTCTCTCTCTCCATGGTAACCAAGGCAGTGACTTTAGTGACCATACCTTAGGTCTCTGATGGAGACAACCAGAGACAAGCCGACCTCCTGCTATGCCTGGCACAGCTAATGCCCTCTTGCATGTAGTCAAATTAGCAAGTACCTGCTTAGTTCTTCCTGTGTGCAAGGCACTGATCACTAGCCTATTCCTCACTAAGGGGTCGTGGTGAATGCTCAAATATTATGGTCAGGATTTTGTGTTTAATGCAGAAAGATAAACTCCTGTCTAGTTTATATCACAAAGTTGAACTTCTCCCTAAGAAACCTCATACAGTATATAGTTCAATCACACTCTCACAGTGCTAAAAATAAAATGAATTTTCCTCCAGTCTTTTCAACATCACCATTTAGGGGTAAAATTTCTTGCTATGATTATGCTTTGACAAGCTTTTTTTCTGACTGGAAAGCCAGGTTTAGAGTAACTGTTTGTCTTGTCCATGATTGATCATTTTATAAACAAAAGATTATCTTTTGCTTTCAATAGAAAGAAGAGTCGGTGGATGATAAATGGAATCGGACAACTTTCCAGAAGTCTGTTCCCATGAGTACTTACCTGGTGTGCTTTGCGGTACATCAGTTTGACTCTGTAACGAGAATATCAAACAGGGGGATACCTGTGAGTACCACTATATTTTTAAAAATTTACCACCTATGCATTTGTGATTGTCTACTTTTTTTAAACAGTTTCTTTTTACCCCACACTAGAAAAGCCCATTAGTCACCAAGGTCTGTGAGTCTGATGAAACACTGAACAATATAGAAAAATGTAAGCTGAAAGGACCCAGGTGAAAAATAAACAAAACAGCCACAGGATTGGATGGCCTTGAATTATTTCAGGAGAGTATTCACTATAAATCCAAAGCTAGTTTCTAAGGATATCAGCACAAAGGCATTAAATATTTGAGCATGCTCAGTTTAGTAAAATGATTGGGTTTATGTGTTTGGGTGGCGTCCAAGATGGAGGCCAGAGGGAAAGGAGGAAATCAGAGGTAGATAAATATCCTTCAGGTAACTAAGTACTGAGATGTTTGTGGTGCCATCCCAATATGTAATTCAACATAAGACTGCAGCAAGGTATCAAAAACAATTTTCTTAAAAATGTAAGAAAATACAAATAAGCTTTTAAAAAAAAATCAAAATGATGAACTTAATAATTTTCTCTTGAAAAATTAAATACTAAGTACTTTTACCTAATTATTACCTAATTATTTTTCTCTTTTTGGAGGCCCTCTTTCTGCTCATGCCCTAAACTTGCTATCTAATGGTTAGTCTGCCTCTGTGCCATATAGTATACATATGAAACATTATATTCTTTGTAGTATAATTTTATAAGGAAGTAATCATCACTCCTACTTTACAAATGAGAAAACTGAAATAATGGGTTTAAGTAATTTTCTCAAAATCATGCAACCGGCAAGTGTGGAGACTCAAATTCCAGATTCTTTTCCAACAATGTACCCTGCTGTAAACCTCCTGAAATGTGATATCCTGAAAAATATCTTTATCTCTTCACCAGTCACTGGAGGGAAGAGGTACTTCTCCCTCCAGCCTATCTATAGAAGACAGCTAGCCAGAGTTTTCCCTCCTGCAAAAACCTGTGGGGCTCTTTTCTTCAAAATGGAACAGAACCTTGCAGGAGAACTTAAAGGCATCTAGTGTGAATGTCAGTCCAAGGTAAATTCTGCCTCGATGGCATTTGACTGGCTCCCTACCCATTCACTCTAAAGTGAAATCTAGCACTTAGCACCCAAGCACAGATGCTCCAGTACAGTTTCCCACTCCAGAGAGAATTACAGGAAAACCACACCACTTTTATCTACTTAAAAGTAACCTCAGTGGGAACCCACACTATTCTCACAGTACTACATTCTTATAGCTAAACAGACAGCCTAAGACAAACCGGCATATGAGGAAAACAAGCAACATAAAAGAGAAAATCCAAGACAAATAAACAGCCAAGCACAATGTGAGCAAACAGTAATAGTTAGAAACCAAAAAAAGCCATAAAGATTAAACATTCTCACACACCCAGGCTTTAATTATTACCCTCAGATTCAAGAAGATATGACCACCGTAAAATAAAAACAGAAAACTATGAGAAAACAATCAGAAATAGTAGTCAGAGTTTAAGAACATAACTTTCAAAGCATGACATGGCTGTAACCCCCAGGAACTTGTTGCTAATTCCTTCCAAACCCAGAGCCCAGCAGGCCGATAGGTTTAGTTCCTGCCAACTGCTCTGTATTTTTATCCACTCCACAGAGATGATTATGCTGTCTGAAGCCCTGATGTGTCTTGTGGGCTTTCCACTTCTATGTTGCAACTGTCATTTCTGTTTGGTAGGAGCAGTGTGGTTCCCCTTTAATTGCTAAGTCATGTCTGACTCCTTCCGACCCCAGGGACTGTAGCCCACCAGGCTCCTCTGTCCATGGGATTCTCCAGGCTAGAATACTGGAGTGGGTTGCCATTTCCTTCTCCAGGGGATCTTCCCGACCCAGGGATTGAACCCGCGTACCTCGCATTCGGTGGATTCTTTACCGCTGAGTCACCAGGGAGGCCTGTTAGGAGAAGTGGGGGTATATTAAAGCATTAATATGCTGTATGCTCTGGAACCAAAGTCTCCATATTACTGGTCCCCCTAACAAACGAAGTTGGTTTTTGTGTAATACAACATTTTTAGTAGAAATTTCATGAATCAGAAAACCGTTCTTATCCACTCCACTTCTGACAGTATTATTCTGGTACATGTATCACCTGCTTTCACAATCAGGTTATACTGTACAATCCAAGACTCTATAATACCCTGACTGAAGTCACCATTCTGGCAAGAACTACTTTACATCAATAAAAACCAAGTCAAAGCCTATGTTCTTCTGATAGCAGATATTAGTACCTGAACCATTCACTATGTTTAAAATGTCCTTGTTGCTCTTGAAGATTAGGGACCCAGCCCTAAAAAATTGTTAGGAAAAAAGGTAACCAAGTTTGGAATGTAGTTCAAAAGACTTAACTTTGCATATTTCCTTTTGTGACTGTCAGTTGCATTACACTTTTATTGAGGTATAGTTGGTTTATAATATTATATAAAGTTCAGATGTACAGCATAGCAATTCATAATTTTAAAGGTTATACTCTATTTGTGGTTATTATAAAATTTTGGCTATGTCCCTGGGGCTGTACAATATTTATTTTATATATAGTTGTTTGTACCATTTAATCCCCTACCTATATTTTGCCCCTCCCTTTTTCTCTCTCCCCACTGGTAACCACTAGTTTGTTTTCTATATCTGTGAGTCCGTTTTCTTTTCTCTTATATTCACGTTTGTTTCATTTTTTCAGATTCCACATATAAGTGACATCAGAGAGTATTTGTTTCCCTCTGTCTGACTTATTTCACTAAGCATAATACACTCCAATCCATCCATGTTGTTGCAAATGTCAAAATTTCTTTCCTTTTTGGCTGAGTAGTATTTCATTGTGTATATACACACACCACACATTCTTCATTCATCTGTTGCCGGTCACTTAGTTTGCTTCTGTATGTTGGCTATTGTAAACAAGCTCCTATGAAAACTGTGGTGCATATACATTTCTGAATCAATGTCTTTGTTTCCTTTGAATGTATACCCAGCAGTGCAGTTGCTGGACCATATGGTAACCCTATCTTTAGTTTTTTGAGGAACCTCCACACTTTTCCACAGTGGCTGCTCCAATCTGCATTCCCACCAACAGTGTACAAGGTTTCCCTTTTCTCCATATTCTCAAAAAACATTTGCTATTTGTGGTACATTTTCAGAATGAGTTTGATTTTTACAACATTTTTATTTCAATGAGGTTATTTTTTTTTTTAATTTCTTTACTGGAAGGACTATTCTAAATTAAGGGCTATCAATCTTCCCTGAAGGAATGCATTTAATTCAGGAAGCCACAGAAGATTGCTAATGATTCTTATTCTTTATTTAAATTTACAAAAATAATATTAACAAAGAAGTATATAAAGTTCTGTGAGGTAAGTTAGATTTTTTGATGTTAATTATCTGTTTTGAAAACACTCTACTCTAGTCATGATCATCACCACGCATCAAATTACTCAGATTTTGACTTAGATGAGAAGCGAGTGGCCAGTAAATAAATGTTCTGTGTAACCTAAGTGAGGGTTCTGGGCTGCGTCTCAAACAGCACCTCATGCCTGCCGAGCTCTGGGACTCAGTGTCCTGAACACATGTTGAAACTTCAAAGCCACGGCAAAAACACAGTCCTAAGCCACCCAAACTTCGAGCCAGGGTTTTCCATATTTATAATAATTTATCTATGGATAAGGGACAATCTAAAATTTAGGAAGAGTTTATCACATTCCTGTGATAAAAGCAGGATCAGAGACAAAACTTAAAGAACCAAAATATCACAATTCTTTTTACCTAAGCATTCCTCCTCCCCAAATTTCTGTCTACTGCTGGAAGAATATTTAGAAGGACATGCTTCCCAGGTGGTGCTAGTGGTAAAGAATCCACCTGCCAATGCAGGCGACTGAGAGACACAGGTTAGATCCCTGGGTTGGGAAGACCCTCTGGAGAAGGGCATGGCAACCAACCCACTCCAGTATTCTTGCCTGGAAAATCCCATGGACAGAGGAACCTGGCAGGCTACGGTCTATCGGGTCACAAAGAGTCAGACATGATTGAAGCAAATTAGCACACATGCAAAGTTATAAAATTAAACACATTGATGATATCCAGTAATACTAACTATGTAACTTAAACATGAATTTACAGAATTAAAAACAATATCAAATTATTTTCTCTTTCTCATCCTGGCTATATCAGCATTGATAATAAAACTGAGGTTCCCCCCCAACATTTTGTCAGTCTTTATTGAGCACCTACTATGTGCACAAATAGTACGCTAAGTCCTAAAGGGAGTGAAATATGATAGGGCGTGCTAAGATATCTACACCTCAATGGACATGTGAAACGTAGGTGGTCACCACTGTCCACTGTCACCCAACTGTGTTTTAAAGTCTTTGATCATATCATCTCTTTGGTGCCAAAGATCTCAGCTTCTAAAACAGGAAAAACAAAAACAGGGGGCTCTGCAAGAGTCAGGGGCCACATAAAAGAGTGTGTCTATTTGGAACAATTCAGATAAGATGGAAAAATCTCAAGAGATGAACAGGTGCTAAGTCTGATGGATGATTGGCAGTGGAAAGGCAGGCTGTTGTCAGTGGGTAGAGTGACCAAATATTTTATTATTTAGAGAGCATAAGTAATAGAGGTGTTATGAATTATGCTGGGGTAAGAGGTGTAAACAAATAAACAACAGACTTAGAATCCCGGGACATTTCTGGGCAAGCTTGGATATCTAGTCACCTCTGTCCATAGAAGACACTCGGCAGACAAAGGCAATAAAAACACGGCCCCACGCACAGCGGGCCTGCAGGGCTCACAGGCGGCGGTGGGAACCCTGCAGGTGCTGGCTGGAGTTCTGACCAGCTGGCAGTGGCCAGTTTGATTCCTTTTTGTTCACATGCTCTTTCCAAGTTCACTGCCTTTATCTCAGACTCTAAGACACCCTTCCAGAGTCTTGCCCCTTCAACCTTACTACCCCTCTCCTGGGGGA